CACCCCTCCCAGCAGCTTGTTGAGCTCCTCGTCGTTGCGCACGGCCAACTGGAGGTGCCTGGGTATGATGCGGGTCTTCTTGTTGTCCCGGGCCGCGTTACCGGCCAGCTCGAGGATTTCAGCCGTCAGATACTCGAGCACCGCAGCCAGATAGACCGGCGCTCCAGCACCCACACGCTCAGCATAGTTACCCTTTCTCAGAAGCCTGTGAACACGGCCCACCGGGAACTGCAAGCCAGCCCGGGACGACCGGAACTTCGCCTTGGAGCGAGCTTTCCCACCAGTGCCCTTTCCTCTACCAGACATAACCACAATCTATCAAGTACTTTCACAGAGAATGATGCAACCCGCCACATTCCGCCCTGTTATACCTTCGGGAGGAATGGGGGTGCGGCCATTGATGATTGGTCACATTGTGCAGTATCTCCTAATGTCGTTTCAATTCCCAATCAGATATCTGCTTCACTCACCAATCCGGAGAGGGCCCGGGGAGGAGGCCGGAAAATACCGGCGCCAAATCATCAACCGCTTTCTTTCTGATTTGAAAAGCCCGCCAAAATGTATACAACAGTTTTACAAAGAATGCGTTCATACTTCAGATAATTTACTTTTAGAATACACCTGCATAGTTCACACAATCTCTGTCTCGTTCCCTGGCCTAGTTGAATCTGTCTATTTCTGATCTTGCTGTTTTTATTTCCCTGAACCTTAAGAATAAGCGGAAGCAAAAAGAAAGAACCCGCTGAAAATTGATCTTAATTCACATCAGTACCCGGATATATCAATAAAAGTATCACACCACTATTTCTTTCTGGGTGAGCGCAGTACTGCTTTAAACAATATTTCACAATCACCCTCCCTATTGCACTAGATCAACAATATATTTCCACATTTGCGATGCCAGTACGTTTTCTTTCCGATTTGAAAAGCCCGCCAATATGGACAATACGAGGAAGACGTTTTACAAAGAATAGTGCATAAATGCTTACGATTTAATTTCCTTTCACATCACAAACGCGCACTTCACACAATCTCTCGTTCTCACTCCCTAAGCAAAACCGTCTTCAGACAATTTTGTAAAGTGGCCCTCACTTATTGTGCTGGATCAGACTTTCCCGACTATCTCGGTTCATTTTGAAAGCCTCTGCGCGACAGCAGAAAGTCCCACATTCTGCATTCTGAAAAAAAAATCGGACAAATGCACATAGAGATTTGGAAATTTTAACAACCCAGAAATCGCACCGTCATTTTTTTTTCGTTGCCACGGGAGATATTCAGGCTTCATACCTCACCGGGACAAGTTTGAAAAACCTCCAACATGTACGAAATAGGGAAAAGTTTTGCAAAGAGGAATGAATAATTTAATTTTTCTTTGAATTTAATTCACTTTCACATTACAAGTGCACCCTGATATACTTATAAAACCACAAACAACGTTGTTCCGGGTGAGCGCGTTAAATCTTTAAACAACAGTTTGAAGTTGCCCTCCCTTCTTGTCCTTGATCAGACTTCAGCCACAGTTTCACACTTGGTATCGCAATCCGACAGCTCATCTGGCTTCATCTCCGTTCATTTTGAAAGCCTCTCACCGACAGCTGAAAGCCTCATTTACAGTATTCTGCAAAACAATCAGACCAAGTCTCCACGGAGTTTTGAAAATTGAAAAAAAAAGGAGTAAACTGCAAAATCTATTCATGAGACTAGTTTCGCTCCCCCGAGGGTGAAACTCAAGTATCATAGCCCACGGGGCACTGCAGCTGCTGCCCTGATCAAGGGTTAAAGAGTAACTGGAACATAAAGAAGTTGCTGAAAAATGACTTTGGCGATAAATATCCAGGCAAAGGAAAGAGACTGGGTATGTCCGCAACCGAGAATAAAGGACAGAGAGGCAGGGACCACACGTTAAGCTTTAGAACGTTTATAAAAAGAAACACAAAGCTTAGAGACATTAATTATACAGATCCAAAATCAATTACAAACTTAAAATGGTTCAGCTGCTTCAGTGAATTGTGGGTGGCCCTTAAAAGAGCCGTTGGGGTTTGGATGTGTGTTTTTCTCAGTACAATGTCTCACTTGGAGCTGGTATACTTGGTCACCGCCTTTGTACCCTGCGACACGGCGTGCTTGGCCTGTTCCGCGGGCAGCAGCAGCCGCACGGCGGTCTGGATCTCCCGGGAGCTGATGGTGCTGCGCTTGTTGTAATGGGCCAGGCGGGAAGCCTCCCCCGCGATACGCTCGAAAATATCGTTGACGAATGAGTTCATGATGCTCATGGCCTTGGAGGAGATGCCGGTGTCGGGGTGAACCTACTTCACACGTTGTAGATGTAGATGGAGCAACTTTCTTTCCTGGATCGTTTCCTCTTCTTGCTGCCTTTCCCCGGCGCCTTCTTGCTGATTTTCTTCGCGCCCTTCTTGGTCGTTGACTGCGCTTTCTTCTCATCAGGCACAGTGATTGTCATTTTCACACACAGAAAAAAAGGCGAGGGCGCGGAGCTCGCTTTTTATAGGCTGACGGCGTCACAATGCTAATGAAGGATGGGGGAAAGCCTTGTTCCTGATTGGGTAGTTTACAACAATGTCAATACATCACATTTAGTGTCTCTCCGAATGGTTAGTGTGGGACACAATGAGGATCGATCAGGATCTGCAACGAAATATGAAACGCAAACCAAAATTTTATACATGGATCAAACTCCGAGCTCACTCTAAATTGAACTGATTATTGTCATTTAATGATATTTTGAACACAGTACCTGTGAGATTTTAATTGTGACAATGTGTTTTATATTTGTAAAATATTATTTTGTTTCATCACTATCTGAGATTTCCTTATTGCGCTGTGAGCAACATTGTACTGTTAAGACATTCAGGTTTACTGAGGGACACTTTGCCGAATATCTGTCAATCTCTGCAATGTGAAAATGGGAGTGAATTATCGGTCTGTCTGTTTATGCAGTGTGAAAGATTATTATTCTCTCACAAACGGTTCCTGTGATACAGTCATAGAGATGTACAAACATGTTAACAGACCCTAGGGTCCACCTCGTCCATAGCAACCAGATATCCTAGATTAATCTAGTCCCACTTGCTAGCATTAGGTACATATCCCTCTAAACCCTTCCTTTTCATATACTCATCA